GATTCATTTATCAACGTTTCTGTTGCATTACTCATGAGCAGAAGACGATAACTAACAAGAGTAATGTCAAGTTGGATCGACTCAGACAACTGATACCTTGAAGCATGGTAGGTTCAAATATACAGCGAACAACCAGATTGTCCGCTTGCGCACGAAAACAGGGGAGGATAGGAATAATGTGCAAAGCAAGAGTGTTGCAGCAGCGCGAACCCTGTCAGAGCTTCGTTTTATTGGTCAAACTGCGGCACTAGAACGTCGAAATGACGTGTTTTCCCCGTATCAAAAGGACGCGTAATCTCCATGTTAGCCCTAACTTTCCCCCCGGAAACAAACAGGGTTTATGGTCATAAAGTGAGAAGATAAAACAGGTCGCCTTGGTTAGAAGCAAAAAACCAAAAGTCATCATCAACGGCGATAAATCAGTGAGTGTGTCGGTGTTTTACAGTCATAGAATCCCCATATTGAAATTGAAATCATTCTACATGTTAGCAAGGGTATAGAAAAACGACCGTTGTTCCACATCCAAATTAAGCGGGTTGATTTTGCTAATAAGAACTGGAGGAGTGCAATAAGCGGAGAACAGTACAAAGAGTGAGCACTTAGTGCCGAACTGCTTGCGCCATGCGAACGTCGTCTCGCCACAGGCATCTGGCTAAAGTGCAAGGATGAGGGAGAAGCAACCATGCAGCTTATGTGACCATCAATGGGCTGCGTCATTGTCGACTTCTCCCCATACTTAGTTAAACAGCACACGCAAAGTACGCAGACAGTCGGATTAGGAGACGCAGTAAGCGGGCCACAAGTGGTGCGCCTTGTGACGGAACAAGCAGAGCACAAGGGAGGTCGCGCGGACTAATACCTGGAAAACAGGAGAACTGACAAGTTAGAAACGGCTACTGAGAAAAACATCAGGATTTGGTTCGGAATATTAAATAGTGGTTCCAAATCTATCTGAGATCCCATGAGGATCTGATTCGTGGGCATTGGATGCGTCATAGCAACATATCCATATAGTAAAGTTAGGAGATGGCACTCGGTAGTCTATATGCGGTCACAAGAAGGCCAGCAAAACAAGGATACAAGAATAAAAGCAATGGATGGAAAGATCTAGAAAAAGACGCACTTTTCGTCGGACGAACTCGGCCGCCGGCTCCCAGCTAGCGATTTGCAAAGAAGTTTAAGAGACCGAACGTTTTTGACGAGGGCATCGGTGACGGGATTGTGCGACAGCTGTGTGGCCGAAGAAATAGCCAGTGTTCGGGCCAGTGAAAGCATATCGGCCAGCTCAAGGGAGCCAAAATTTTCTGGAGCTATGCAATTCCCATTGAACACACCCGATGATGAGCCGATTAAGGATTTCCAGTGTTGGTGAATTTCACGATGTTCGCTAGAAACGTCTGCGTACACCGCCAGCATGTGGTCCAGTTCGAGTGCTAAAGCGATCGCTTCCGCCTGAACCGAAGGAGCCACAGGGAGTGGCGCGGAGGCACTACGGAAAAACGAAAAAAGTCAGAAAAGATTCGAGAGATAATAAAAAAACGTGCGGGGTTGGCTAGGTCATCACAGATGAAATCATCGACTCGTATGAAACTGCCAAACGGATGGCCAGGAGCCACTATCGGAAGTAAACGTGATAATGTGCAGTTGAAGATGGTTTTCTCAGTAGTTCTCAGATCCATGAGATAACTTCCAGACAAATCGGATAAGACAACTCAGACGTATAAATGCGTAATCTTATAATGAAAGCAAAAAACGTTAAGACCCCGGGAGAAACCTGACTTCATCACTGCAAACGATAAGCCTAGTTCATACCCGGTCGCGTCGGCTGGCCAATAACAAGGCAACCGAGGAGATCAATGCACGCACCGGCGAGGCTCAAGTGGCCTTCCAATGGCGCGGGAATCGGCGATCACTGTTAGCCTACAGTTCGACGGCGAAGCGTAGAAGGCTGCGACGTAGACAGCGTTACTCTATGTAGTTAAAAATACGTTTTTACACAACTCGGTAAGTTGAATGTGCATCTCTAACACACACATAATCACCAAAATGATCAAAAGGGATACAGTTCAGGTACCCGCAATAATACAGCAGCAAAACAAACAATTGTGTAGACCACCGCATTGGTAAAGGTTACCGGCTACTTCTTGGATTATAGCGCTAGTGTCAAGCAAAATATCCAGATATGGAATAGTCATAGGTCAGCGTGCAAACATAAAAGGCTTTATACTTTCATCCTCTCAAAGAAGTAGACACACAGTGTACCGCGCACTGAGTGGCTGGCACCAGTTAGTATTCTCGAAGCAGGTTGTATTCAGGAAGTAACGCGAGTAGATATAATAGTTTGAGCTAAAATCGACTTTGGAATGACAATAGCGAAACAAGCGCTTCAGTGACCTATAAAGTAACTTGATATGCCTATCCAAACAGTCTAAAGAAGCACAGGAGAATAGTAAGTTCAGTGTGGCGGATTGCACGCAGTGTTAACAACAATAAAACGGTAGCAAACGACGGATGATCGCAAGAGAGAGAACACGAGTCTCCCGATCATACCAAACCGCGGCTCAGTATAACTCAAATACTTCACTGAAATGGAGAACATCAGTCTTACCAAGAATGTGAAGTTGGGGATAGTCGATGATGAGTTTCTATTACAGAAACTGCTTCATGCGATGAACGTCATTGCACTTAGATGAATTCAGTGTCAAGCAACGGGATTGCGACCACTGCATGAGTTCATTCAAACTTCGCGGCCTGCAACAACGCGGAATGTCGGTAGGCAGGTTTGACAGTTGTGTTGATTGGCTCGTCGGGCTGGGCAAGTTGGTTACATAGGTTTCATTATTAAGTCCGAGGTGACATCACCAGTGGGGCACCTCGGCTTGCAACAAAATTGCCCAGTTTAATGAGCCAATCAAGGCTCCAACTAGGCAGCTTGGTCAAGGAAGCTGAAGTCAGATGATCCGTGCTAATGACTACCTCATGAGCATCTCTTAGCACGATGGCTTCTTCGGGGACAGGCATGGATCCAAAGTAGGTAGCGAATAAGTATAGTGGAAGAATTGCTCTTTGAAATGCACCGGAAGTTGCCTGAAGTGGAAATGAGCTTCAGTCGCCAAACCTGGTAACCTAAGTGCGTTCGGTGACAGAATTCTCTAGCAGGAAGATTATGGAGGGTTGAATATCAGATGCGAGTAGATTTCATAACAACTACTCAGTTAGCACGGCTTAAAGCGTTGCTGTAGTCAGGGAAGCAGACACGTGTGGACTTTTGCGTAATGTTTGTCGACAAATACACCGAGTGTGCTAAGCAACCCATTATGTTTTGTGTAAACCCTGAACTTTCACAAGTAAACTGATACCGGCCACTTAAACGTGATGACAATCTCGCTCTGAAAGGGAGAGTTTACAACACAGTCATTATCATCATTAAAGGTTAGCAAAAGGTAAAAAACTTCTCAGCTACTCTGCCGTAGTACAAATGGACAAGAAATATGAAAAACGCAGGAAAATAAATTTAACAGAACGCAAAATAAAAAACAAAAACGAGTAACAAAATGCTCCAATGGATGCGAGATCGTTGCCGGATGAGGAGGCTAGGCAGGATGATGAGGGGACAAGGAAACTCACAACACAAATGCCACTGGGATCGGATCTTCACCATGTTTATAATCAACCAAACGTGTTCATCGTCTATTGGGCCCCAACCAGAGGCCAACTTCGAAAGGGCTCTGCGCCAAATCATTGGTTGTCCTCGGTTTCGATGCTTCCAGCTAGATCATGGTCACGCAAACGCACGCCGCGGGAGCCGATGTGCAGGCATTCACACGGATATGACAGAGCCACCGGAACCTGTTGCGTAAAACAATGTTGCTAAACAGCGAGCTCTTCCTTCCTGAACTAAATACGCGATACCGAACACGCCCATTGCTCACGCGGTGATCTGACCAGACATGAGCTAAACAACGAAGGCAGCGATGGTCGGAACTTAACTACTCTTTGTGCTTGTCGATCTGATTGGCTGGGTTTCGTAACCGTACAATAGGGTCGAGCGGACGGCTGTACTGCAAACTCGACTCTTCAAAATGAGAGCGATGTGTCGGTGCTGCAAGTGGCAGAGGTTGGCAAACACACCACGACATTTTGATAAACGATTCATGATCTCATCTTTCATTCCACAGGTGCAGATAGGGCTGACCAGGTAGTTGAATTTCTGAGTGACTTCAAGCTGGTGCACACAAAAGACCAAAGAAGGGTACAGTCACTACTAATCTCGGAGCATAAATCGCATCTGAAGAATGTAAGGCCGTTTGAAATGATTGACACCAAGGGCGAATCTGTCCAGTGCTGTTTGGTAAGTTTGTGAGCTGTCGCGGACTAGGGCAATATTGGCGGCGTATTCTTGGAAGCAAATTCACGCTTAAGTCATGTTCAGTGAACACGATTTCCATGACATCGTCAATGCCGAAGTTAAAAAGGAAAGGTGACAGCGGACATCCTTGTTTCACAACGCCGCACATGTTAAACGGCTGCGACAGTTTGCTATTAACTCTACCAAATGCCGATGTATGCGCGCCAAGCTCCCTGATAGTGGTTACGTATCTTTCGAACACACCTTTCCTGAGCAGAGACCAAGTGCACATCGATCCACCGAATCGAAGACTCCACTGATGTCGAAGAACACGACAGCGGTGGGTGGCAAAATAAATGTCAATGTTCCCAATAACTAGGGTAAAGTGAAAATGCAGTCAGTGCGGCTTCCTTTTTGACGAAACCCGGTCTGTGATTAACGAGGCTGGCTTTCACGGGCGCCAGTCAACCTACGAAGAATAACAAAGACAAGTATTTTGGAGGCAATAAAGATCAGACTGACCCCTCTATGATTCCCGTATTCTGAAGGTAAATGTTTGTTTAGATTGGTCTCTGTGTGAACATCACAATGAGCTCATCGATGCGCAAGCAAATTATGAACGAGCTCGTGGCTGATTTCGAAATTCACATTGTAATTACGATGCGTGCTAAGCATACAAAATGCAATCGTGTAATAAACCACCGTTTCATCAAGGACAGCGTCAGTAACAATTAGGCAAAGACAGTCATCTAAAATGCTTACCGCTTTGCACCACTCTTCCTCGTATCTGTCAGTGATAAACTATTTTTGACGGAATACACTAGTCCATCCACAGCAGCTTTGCATGCCATAACCTCGTTTGGTTCCAGAAACTCCTTTGGAAGATGTTCAAACAAGGGCGCTGAAAGCTGTAAAGTCACAAAGAGGGGAGAAAATGACTCTTGATGGTGGAGAAAGTGAACCAGGAAGAAAAAATCGTGTTATTTCAAAGGGGTGTGTGTGTTTGCACGAGTCACTTTTCCGGTTACATAAGTGGCAGGCACCATTCGTGATCAACGGTATAAGTCGCCGAATGGAAAGTAGTCTGATCGCGATTTCGAATGCCGAGGAATTCGGGAAAAACTGCGCCGCCGATGAGCCTCTGCTGATCGAAACGGACGTCCAGCCTACTTTTGGAGATTTCGGGGCAGTATGAATATGACGAATTTACTTAAGGCTCATTGAATCTCTCTATACTACCGCAGATTCTGTAGCTGCCTGCACTGACGCAGTTGTCTGGGTAGCGTGGAGAACTGTGCTTTTCGCGATCAAACCTGCCTACCAAAAGAAGATGACCAACAGATGACAACAGTTACGTAGGCCAGCGATAACAGCATGAGTCGATGAGTTGCAAGGCATTCCATGACGTTGGTGGTGCCTAGTAGTTAGAAATCTATTAGAGAGAGCATCAGAAGACCAAACAACCCAATATTGGATATCAGTTTAAGCATGCAAAAACAAATCAGCGAACAGAATCGTGAGAGTATAGAAATACCAATCGGAGGAATTGCGCGGTACTATAAAGTGGTATAAGGATACAAAGGTGAGACGAAGAGTGTACCCCGAAAATCGCAATCCAAGGAACAATGGTACATTGGCCAACATCCATGCTCCAAATGATGTCTCTTCCTAGAACAATCCACTCCATACACTATGGTGGTGGGATCTTTGTCTGAAGTCTAACGACGATTATTGTCATCCCAATGGGCGGAAAATGGATCAGCAGAGAACCCACGATAATATCAACAAAAACCACCTACATATGGCACTGTACTCGACAGCACATACCGGGCATTTGGATATCAGCATGGCACGGAGGATATGCCAAAAACACCGACAGCTAGAGTCCAAACAGCTAGGATATAAATCCAAAGCGACAGCAACTCTCATGACAGAGAAACTACCTACATCAACACCGACTGAAAACGTTACGTGTCATCACAGTTAGGAAACCCACTTTGTGTGTTCCGAGGAAGGTTTCTGATCCCAACAATGGCCAATATCGAGTGGAGCGCTCCAAATGCTGTTGAGCTGATAAAAAGTAAGGTAGAAAAGGAAACAGAAGACCAAATTTAGTCGGCTGTGGACTAGAACGGTTCGTGAAAAGCAAGCTGGCTCAATTTATATGAAGCGTATCATAAAATAGCTAGCTAGATTCATCAGCAGCAGAACAACAATAGTCTGAGCTGATGCTTCACAACCATATAACCATGATAACCCAGGGAACGTTCATCTAATGGAAAGTATAAATATCTTAGGTCTCGAACGGCCTGCTCCGAGGAAAATTGCGCTGTCTGAGAATCAAGTCGAGTTGGCGCCACTGATTCAGGCCAAATCTTGTAACTTGCATGGAAAAACAGAATTTCACACTCGAACTCGAGTAGAGATGAAAATGCGAATCAACGTGGGATCAGCGGCAAGTTGAACTCTGAATTTGAACCGTGTGAGTTGTCTTAATTAGCATTAATTAGCATATCCAATATCGTTGAGTTAGTAGTTGTCTTCAACCTATTTATTGCGCTATGCTCTCCTACAATATGAATCCCTCAGTCCGGCAGATCTTGGCGTTCTCATTTTGTTGCGGGTTGGACCGGTTGGAGGCGGCACAACAATTTTTGGAAGGCTATTCGTACAGTCAGTGAAAACCACAACAAAATCTGTTAACCAAACCTTCAAAATCAAGGCACGTGTACCTTAACAATAACACGCGATCACAAGCAGATGGCGATCCTTCGACGATAAGGAGGTAGTGACGAGACAGATTTCCTACGGTTTTCGCTAATCCACGTGGTAACCAGCCTCATCCCCACCTGACGCGGCATCAAACATAATTTAAGCGAATAATCCGATTAACATGTAAGCAAACACGCCAGTGGTGCCGACTGCGAGCAATCTCGATTCTAGCACAAAGTAGTTCGCGTGAACTCCAGTTTGGAAGGCAAGACGAACCAACAGCAGTCATCAATGACCTCATTTCCCGCTACTAAGTCAACATTTGCCCACTCTACGACGTGTGTTCAAAAAGAAACCTAACTTTTGCTATGACATCTTTATTGCTCATTGCACAACATTTTAAGCACTTTCCCTCTCAACGTAGTCCCCTATATTGGCAATGCACCGTTCCCAAGGGTGCTTCCATTGTTAGAAAACCTTGTGGAACGCACTTTATGAGATGGCGCGCAGGCATCTTGTCCTACTGTTCTGAATCGCCTCTATGGTTTGGAAAGGAAGTCCTTTCAACATGGTTTGAGGTTTGAAAAACAGGGAAAGGTCTGCTGGGGCTAGGTCAGAAGACTACGGTGGATGTGGCACAACGGGAGTGTGATGTTTTGCTAGATAGCTGCGGACAAGGAGCAATGCGAGTTTATTCAACACGGCCAATAATACAATTAGAATATTGCCACAACGGATGGAAAATACGATAAAGAAGGAGGAGGAACAAAACCGGTGTTCATGGGAATGGAGAACCACAACAATTCCGCCGTTGCGCACGGTTTCTTGCCATAACCGAGATTGTTTTCAGCCATGCGTGTTCCGGATCCTTTACACTCCAGCCAGAGAGCCAACAGCGCCCGACCACGACACTTTGACCTTAGCTCCTTCACGATCCTGGCCCAAATCATACGTTGGCCACCTTGCTTTCGCTTCCAACCGACTTTGCGTGGGAGAAAAGGGCACGGCGAGATAGACGATTAGTAGGCATGTGAGGAACATGCCCAAGCCACTGTAGTTTGCGAAGAGAAATTATGCTGCTCAGTGGCCGGCAAAGTCTGTCTGATCCGGAAATCCTCTGTCGAACATCTTCATTACTAGTGTGATGTTGCCATCATACACCAGCAATGGTCCGAAGGCAGGGGTGACCAAAAGTAGACAGTCTCTCAACATCCTGTTCGCGGACAGGCCAAGTTTTGCAGCCATAGAGAGGACTGCTCTTACTCTGGTATTGTAAAATCGGCCCTTCAGAGATAAACTCAGATCATCTCGACGCCAGAGATGGCAGAGATTGGCAAAAGCAACCTGAGCTCTGGAGACGCGCAAAGAGACCTCATCCGTTAAACCATTCGCGCTGAGGCAGCTTCCGAGGTAAACGAACTTGTCCACCACTTCCAATAAATGACCTAGAAGCGTAAGATCAGGAACAGCGCCTAGCCAGTCCTGCGGGAACATCTTGCATTTCGATGGTGTAAAGGTCATTCCAAACTGGGAGACAGACATCTCCAACCTACACATTGTGGGCGGCCTGTGAAGAATCGCAGATTACGGCGATGTCGTCTGCGTACTCCAAGTCGTAAAGTCAGTTCCCTGGAAGCAGCTCAACACCCCTGAATCCGCAGTTTTCCAGGGCACTCTCCAAGAGTTAGACTACAGCGAAACTGAACAAGAAGGGGATGCCGCACGACCGTGTCTCAAGCCACTGGCGATACTAAAGGGGGGCGAAATTCCGCCGTACACATGCACTCGGCCCGAGGTTTGAGAGTAGATGGCTTGAAGTAAGGTTACATACTTCTCGGGCACTCTCCTCAGTAGACAACTCCAGAGAGCAGCTCTGTCGACTGAGTCAAACGCGGCTCGTATGTCTAAGGTGACAACGATCGTTGGTTGGCCAAATGTTTGAAGACGCTCGAGTATTTGGTGGAGTGTAAAGATGCGATCGATGCTACTCCGACCTGAGCAGAGCACAGCCTGTTCTCCACGTATGCTCTGTTCGCGTACCAAGTTGAGCCTCCTTAAAAACAGAGCTGCGAACACATTGGAAGCAATCCAGACGAGACTAATCCCTCGGTGTTTAGCGCAGTGAGTTCGTGTACCTTTTCTGAAGACGGGCACGATATCCGCTAGGCTCCAATCAGATGGGATAACTCCACTGACCTATATCTCTTGAAGAAGTTAGCTCCTGAACAAGTGATGACCCACCATCTTTGAAAAGAGCCGGAGGGAGTTCATCTGGACCAGGGGCTTTGTAGCACTTTAAGAGGCAAAGCTCGTAGGCAATCTCAGCCTCGGATGGTGATGAAGCGTCTACACATCAGGGAGCGCTCTAGACTGCAGAATCGGAACTCATTGGTACTACTGGCCAATTAAACTGCCGCTCAAAATGCTCGGCCCAACGCTCTATCCGGTATTTGTGACAGTGGATTGGCTAGCCATCGGTTTCGCATAAAACTTCGCTTACAGTCGGTCGTTGGTCGCCAGTAGATCGGATCAGGAAAAAAAGCTTACGGAAATTCCCTGAAGTGACCGCACGCCCCATCTCAATGACCCGCTGCGTGCACCATGCCACGCAATCTTCCCGGAGAAGCTCTTTGAACTTTGCGTTAGTAGTCATGCGTTGTGAATGGTATTTAACGCTGGCAGGAATTGTTCGACGGGCTTCCAGGAGTTGAAGAGATCGTGCAGTGATCCAGTGGTTGACAGGACTACTGGTGAAGCCACAGACAAGGGCAGCAGAGTTGTACATGACGCCGCGGATGTGTGTCCATTGTGTTTCAATGTCCGTGCATGAGACAATCTTCAGTCGTGAGGCCAAAGCACCCTGAAATGCGCGAAAAGCGTTCGGAGCAGAAAGTTAAGCTACGTCAATTCGTTTCTGGCGCGACCTTGGCACACACCAGCGCGTGATCCGAAGTAAGTACTCCAGATTGATTTGCCATTCTGTATGCAGCCCCACCAGCAATAGCTAATGGCAGTGTGGTCAATTTGTGTCCATGGCTGGCCAGGTGATCGGGGTCTCCAGGTACAGCGTTGGCGCCAGGGTCCCCGAAAGCTAGTGCTCGACAGAAAGAGGACGTAATTGGTGCAAAGCTGAAGTAGTCGATCAACGTTCAGTTCTGTGAGTGCCATGACCGTGTTGACCACCGAGTTCACGTTCGTCAACTTCAAGTCTACCGACCTGCGCGTTCAAGTCCCTGGCGAGCACCACAATGTCGGTGCGGCGGTTTTTAAGGAGGTCGGCCAGTTGACCATAGAACTCGTCCTTAACTGACTCTGGGCTGCAATCTGTGGGAGCATACGCTGGGACAATGAATACACAGCATCTGCTGGTTTCCTGCCTGGACAGTCGCACTGAGGATTCAAGTCGGATCGCGCAGAGTCGACTGTTGACAGGGATGCAGTCTAGTAGCGCGGCCTCAGCACGTGTGCTCAACGCAACTTCCACGCCATCATGACCAGGGGCTTCGGAGGTTGAGTCTCCAAAGAGGCGCAAAGTGAAAATGTTAGTGGAATTCGCAGACGGTAAAACTAGTCGCAGCATCGTGTTAGAGTTCTGTAAATGTGTCTCGCTGAGACAGCAAACAACAATGGTCGTAGTTTCCAGAGTGCGAGCAAGGGCTATCTGTGATCCAATCTGCATCAGCGTCTGAACATTGAAAGTTGACAGCTTGAATTTGGAACGGGGCGCTAGAAATCGCATGTCAACACGACTTGGTGCACCTTCGGACCTAGGCTCCTGACCCGTATGGTGAGAACGTTCGCCCAAGGCGGTACGGTGTTGTGAACTCGAAAACGGAGGGGAAGAACCAAGAATGAGGGTTGAACAAACGTGGATTAAACTGATTAAACGGTGGTGCGGTAAATCGTGGTTTGGCAGGTTCAGCCGCCAGCACCTCGGCCGAGGAGAGCAGTTCCAGAGAGTGAGAGCAGATAGAGCGAGAGCGGAGAGAGTGAGCGAAGATTTGTTGAGACATGGATTCATAGGTTGTGTGGGCATGGTGCTTCCCGGTTGCCCAGGCCGAGGAAGAGGGTTGACTTAGGGGACCCCATCCAGAGCCCTGGGTCATAAAAGACCTAACCCGCAAGGCAGCGGGACGATTGACGTATACCGCGATCGCTGGGAGCCGGCTACCTAGGTAAGGACAAAACGGCTTTCGAGTAGAAACAAACTACACAGGTTGTCCAAAGAGCCCGAGTGAACCAGCAAAGAGGCCAGGATTCTCTGGACTACCGAACTCGCCGCGAAGCACGAAAACTGTTGATAACCGGATGGCTCATACGCCTTCATAGAAGCCGGTGGCCATCGAGGTTGTTCATCCGCCCTCCGTTAAGTACTCACTTCTCTGACCAGAAGTAAGTGGTAAGTGACCCTATAGCCGATCACATTGGCTTTAACACAGCGTCTTGCGAGCTCTTGTGGTATTTAATGAGGAACCAGGTGACCAGCCCAGAACCGCCCCCACACTGTAGGACACTAGCGCTGATTGTCTGCGACTGCTTATTCGTCTCGTCCGAGACTTATTCACAGATACCTTCGCAAGGAAGGTACTCCACGATCCGCAACCTGGGGACGCGCCCGGTGGCGTACAGCCCTGCCAAACTAACTGGTGGTCAGTTCACTTCCGGTGTGAGCCGGCGCATTGTCATAATGCAACATCCAAGTCCGATTTTCCCACAGTTCAGGCCTCTTTCTGAGCAGCACAGCATCTCTCAAACGCGCTAGAAATCCCTGGTAGACTTCCTTTTTGCCATCCGACCATGTAGCAAAAATGTCTGATGGACAATGCCTTTAATAACAAAAAATACAACAAACACCACCTAGATTTTTGACGATTTTTGGACGAGGAGACCCTTACTCCATCAACTGCGACGACTTCATCTTCGTTTCAATATCTTAGCCATAAACCCGTCTCATTTCCTGTTATGACGTTCTTAAGGAAGTTTTCATTGTCATTGGCAGTGGCAAGCAGTTTCTGGCTGATTTCAACACGGTTCTGTTTCTGATCGTCAGTCAACAAACGCGGCACGAATTTTGCACTGACACGACGCATCTCAAATTTGTCACTCAAAATTTGGTGGCATGATGCTACGCTGATGCCCACTTCATCAGCAAATTCTCGAACAGTTAAACGATGCTTTCCACGAAACACAGCACGAACTCTCACGGCATGGTCATCGTCTGTTGATGTGGAAGGTCATCCAGGCTTTGGATCGTCATCGAATGACATTCTGCCGTGTTCCAAAGACTTAAAGCACTACGTGCAGACCATACAGTCTTCCTCGTATGCTTGGCTAAGCAATTGAAATGTCTCTGTAAAGGTTTTGCCAAGTTTGTAGCAAAATTTCACACGCACACACATGTTCTTCAAGCTCTTTCATTGTCTCTTTGGCACTAAGCCAACGAACAGCTTTTGTACACGTGCTCACTTCAGCGGCTGTAGATCGCCAACCAAAAGTCAGAGCGAAATGAGGCAAATGGCAGTTTGTTGTCCAAACATGCCGTTAGGAGCCGCAGCGCGCTCTCTCTGCCGTTTGGTGCGCTATTTCAAAAGTTCGATTTCTTTTTGATAACACGGTGACCGGACATACGTAGCCCGTGCCTAAGCCAATATGACTTGTACTAGTTTATTTAATATTCTAAGAAAGTAGCTTCAGTAGACTACGTAACACAATTTTGTTCCTGTGTTCTAAGAGTTATACTCCAAATAGTGATGTTTAAAGCATAAATGAAAAAATCTATATGCACCACAACAGCTTTGATTTTATGACCAAAGAAGAGTCAAAAAAATCGAATTTTCATTCCAGGTCTACTAGAGAAACGTGCATGTGCTTGCAGAGAAATACTCAGACAAGCAGAAAACCAGAAAAAATCGGAAATGACCATATTTTCTGGCCTTCCGGATAATGTGTAAATCGCTTTTTCAACGAAGCTCCCGAACAAAATTCATCATGTTTTCGTAATTTTGCACCTGGGGACCGAAATGCTCCTCTGAGTAAGCTCTCCTGTTTACATTTAATTTATCGAGATGAGCAACAATGATACGGACGTTCGGGCGGCCAACACACAATATTCATCTGTTTCGGCACAGTTACGGTCCCAGTGACTGAATTGACCGACGTTCACTACAATGTGAATCATGGCCTACATTGAAATTGCATGTCGCAATCCATTCACACAAAGAGCACTTCAAATCGACCCTATAATCGAGCTTTGAAGGATGTTTTGTATTCCATCTGGACAGGTCTCTATTGCCGTCTTAACTGGCTACTCAGAGTTTTTCAGCCTACGATTGCCCAGGAAGTCGTGAACCACTGCAATGAGACTGTTCCCGTCGGTTTTCCCTGTTCTAGTCAGTTTCCCTACGCATTCAGCACATTCTAATATCTTTATCAGTGGCCTGTACCACTGATAATTATCGCCGCCTAGTATTCACCTGCGCACCTCATTGATACGAGAGCGCTGGTGCCAGTCAATATCAAAAATGCCCCACAGGTAATAGTGTTCAAAGATCTGAAGGCGCCACGGATCGTCAGACTTAACGGGACAAGTTTCGTGCTCAAAGTGCAGAACCGTCCACACTTTTTCGTAGATACACAGTCTTTCACATCCAGGAAAATCGCCAGTTCTGGCGACCCAAGTGTCGCGGACTCCAATATAGAGCACTGGCTTCGTAGTAAGTGTTCCCATATTGATCTCTGATAAGGTAGCTATCAGTTCAGTTAAACAGCTCAAATATCGTTAGATAGATTAAAACACCATAGTAAGTGCCTGGTGTAAAGCACTTTGCCCTAGGGGTGCAAGTGCGCAAAGGGTCAATATATTCCGAAATATGCAAAAGTAGGGGCGAGAAACCAAGTATACAGAGACAAGAATGGTACTGATCGACGATTGTCTGGCAGAAGTCAGACTCACCTCGTTCCCTCGGTGCAACGGTGAAATTCTGATGGGCTGAAGCTGGGGCTAAGCGAGACGGTCTAATAAGCTGATTGATGAAAGCCTGAACGCGCAGGTTGGCAGAATTGGGACAGCTGACCAGTGGCTTTAGAGGTGGATGAGCCAATGGACACACAGTGGCCAAGGTGTGTATATACATCACCGATCCATGACAAGTAAGCAACAGGGCCTCGTTACCGGATATTGGAGGAGGCTCAGAGCCAGACGGAAGAGGAGGTAACGCGATTGGAAACCTGTGGGCCAATATAACCGACCGACCTGATAAAAATGTTCAAATGGAAGTCGAGGGCTGTATATGCTGATAGACATATGTCACTGACTGACGTAAAAATAGTCAGAACAGGGATTAGTCCGGATTCAAAATCGACCGGATGTTTAAAAACTGGGGCACGCAAACTGAAGCACAAAAAATTGAGTCCGGATTGTTAGATATTGAGTTCTCTTTGCTGTCCCTCTTTAGATGTTTGATGAGGTAAACTAAGCTGAATACAGCTTAACACTTTACCACTGTTTTCAAATGAAGTGACTAAACGATAGGCATCAGCAGCAGTAAACCGATGCCTCATAACGAAGCCTCGCTTTCAACCAAGCGCAGACGGTTGTATTCCCGCCGGGATGCAGCAAAGTAGGCTGAAGAAGCAGCCTGTGGATTACAAACCACCTATACCATTCAACTCCCCCTACTACTCCACTGTAATCAGTACGCAGGCCAAACCGTTTATGATGCCTTAAGTTAATTGGCGGCTTAAATTTGGTAAGCCCGTCGCTTGATGAGGGGCTACCCTGTCCTCTGCACGGCCTTTACGTGTAAGTCAGTGGATAGTGAGCGGCGCTATATCACACCTAGTAACTAACTCACGATAGTCATTGTCGTATCTCGTAGCTCAGTGGTCTCAACCAAAGGACTGGCAACAGTCGAGTAGCGGGTTCGAGCCCTACCAGGGTCCGATGGAATGCGCACTACTAATGATTCCCGAAAAGATGAAACGCACGTACATTGCTTTCCGGGAGTGTGACGGCTGTCTGAATGAGTCTAGATGTGACGAATTTCTACCTACACCATTCAACTCACCCTACTACTGCTCTGTGGTTACAAACCAGAAGTCTGAATCCCTCCGCCATTAGTTAGAAGATAGAATGCACGCAGTCACTTTCCCATGTGGTCCGATTGCGCTGTGTCTTTTTCACGTTTCTCATCAATTGCGGCGCTCACAAGCTTTAGGATTCTAATATGGTATTCTTGCTCACCCATGTGTACAGCCCATTGTTGCAGACGATTCAATGTCAGGTTTATCAGGAGCTGAATGCGCTTTACAAAGTAAGTGAAAAAGGAACGTACAAAATAAGATGCCAGTGAAAACAACTTTATCCCACTAAAAATAGTGCTTGAATATGCATCATCCCGTTTAGAAAAAACAGCCCGTTGGCATCAAGTTTAAGTAGCATATCCGGCGGCACACATTGAAACATGCAGTACATAATTATCGTAAGATAGACAGATCGAGTAGTCATGAGTTCAGAGAGGTTTGGAAACGATCGGTTGGTATAGTAGTTTGGTAACGTTTCGCCCCTGACACAAGAGCTTCGTCAGACCAGGTGAATCCATGTGCAATTGGAGTGGGATTTTATAGCGAACAGGGGCGATAACCGCGTTACCCGAGACTTGAGCCAAGGTGTCATTACAGTAACAGTTCGTGATGTCACCTCAGGTGGTTCAATCACAGTGGGAATAGTCCAGGTGTTCCTTTGTGCGTCATGGCATTGATGGATAAGCCCATAGTGTTGACAATTGGAGTCGGTTTGCACTTTCCAATCTGATCCACGCACCGATGCTCGTCAGGCTGGCCGGCTTAAGGTCGCTCGCCACGTATTAGAGAGTTCTACATCCTCCCTTCTTTTCACGCAGTCGTCCGATTTGGCAATTTCCACCGCCTCGGCAATCAACCGCTGAGGTGTTGATCGTATACCCATTCTAATGACCTCTACGTTTTCCAAGTCTATCTGGTACCCGTGTCTAATGCATGCACAGCCACGGCCGAGTCTCTTACTATTGCCTGGCATTCAAACTCGTTTCTTGGTGGTCTTGAAATGCGCCTCCTGTGCTCTGAAATTTCTGTGCGTAATTCACTCCTGTTTGGCCTATGTACACATGTGCACAGTCCTTACATTTAGTTTTATAAACACAGTTAATCATCCTATCCTTGGGAAGGGGGTCCTTCAGGGGTACCAGCGCCGAAAGTAACGTTCGTCCTCGCTGAAATATCACCCTTATATTTTCTTTGTTTAGTACCCTCTGAATTCGATTCGTGGTACTGAATTCCTACTGTCCATTTCCACTCGGTTGTGTGTCTTGACTGCCGGTTTAGCACTTTAGGCAATTGGCGTTTGACTAGCCGCTGTAGGTAACCACCTTCGAATAGTTTCTTCATTGCCACTTTCCGCGCAGCCATTTTGTCCTCCTCCATCGTGCACAAGGTTTGTGCCCTGTAGAACAGCGCTGGATCTATCCCAGCGTAAACCTGTTTCGGATGACCCGAAGGGTAGTGGCTTGTGATATATTGTCGTCTATAAATTTCCCCCATTCCTGTGAACCCGGCAGTCAAAAATGGTATTGTATCGCTACAAGATCCCAACTCAATAGTAAACTGTATCCTCTCCTCAATGGAGTTTAAGTGATCAAGCAACTCGTCCTTCTTATCCCGTCTAACGAGTACAAGGGTGTCGTCTACATAACGCCACCAAACTTTAGGTGAGTTAATGGTGTTTGTTAACGCCCTGTTCTAGAAGTCTTCCATATACACGTTCGTTAGTACAAGGGATATTGGCGATCCGATGGCGAGACCTTTTTCTTAGCTGTACAGCTTTGACTGAAAAACGAAGAAAGATATGTCAAGACACTGTCACACCCCCGATTATCTGGTTAACCGTTAGTTTCGTCCGAGCACTCCGAGTGACATCTTCATGTAGACAACGTCTTGCTACTCCTATGGCCTCTCCTTTGGGTCCATTGGTGAAAAGTGATGTGACATCGAAACTGACCATCAACATTCGTAAAAAAAACTCTTATGTGTTCGCTCAAAAGATAGCAATTCTCAAGACTCGATTTGAAATTGCCAAATCTGACGACTGCGTGAATAGAATGGAGGTTGTGGAACTCCAATGCGTAGCGAGCGACCTTAAGCCGGCCAGCCTAACGAGCATCGATGCGTGGATCAGATTGGAAAGTGCAAACCGACTCCAATTGTCAACACTATGGGCCTATCCATCAATGCCATGACGCACAAAGGAACACCTGGACTATTCCCACTGTGATTGAACCACCTGAGGTGACATCACGAACTGTTACTGTAATGACACCTTGGCTCAAGTCTCAGGTAACGCGGTTATCACCCCTGTTCGCTATAAAATCCCACTCCAATTGCACATGGGTTCACCTGGTCTGACGAAGCTCTTGTGTCAGGGGCGAAACGTTACCAAACTACTATACCAACCGATCGTTTCCAAACCTCTCCGAACTCATGCAGTACATAACTTCCGAAGCCGATGTTTACAAGTCATCCGATACGCCCCGCTATTATCGTGCTTTGTTGAGACCATCCGCCATTTTTCTTTGTTGTTGTGCTATGCGAGGTACAAAAGTTACAGAAAACTGGGCTGGCTCGAGAGTGACGCCTTCTAATAACAGCAGCAGTTATTTAGTACATCATGACAGTCTGCCACAGTCCCCCATGACTTAGTAGCATAAGTTCCTAGCTCGTGGCACAAGCAGCTAGTGATCTTGGGTTGCAAACTTGATTGAGCCGAGAGATGCGAATTATGAAGTTCCTTAGGACAAAACGGTCGTCTAGTTCTTTTTCGGGTATGTTGAAGACTAACTGACTTGGAAGGTGGTGCGAATTCCGAATTAATTACATCAATGATCTATTACCTATAAATACAGTCAGACTTGTTTATGGCGATCACCTAAGGGACAGGTGGTCGCCACGGATTGGTTCATGCATACGGACATTACTCATTGGAGAAAATGTTGGGGATGCTTTTGACTGGTCGCCATAGACAGGTGGTCGCCGTAGCAGGTTGGGTTGTATAAACAATTTAAATATTTACTCATGTTCACGTTAAACAGAGCGCACATGCTGAATTCCCGAAACGAGACCAGGTCGCCAATGGATTGTGGCGATATCAATAGCCTAAGTGGACAAAAATAGAAGGAAAATGAAAACAAGGCCTATGGAGCGCATGGTGTCTGAAGGTATGCTAGCTTTTTTAGGTTTTCGAAAAAATTGTAAGTCACATTAACTCATCCTTATACCATATATCTGTGATGCGACAACGCTACGTTGGATTTCACCTCTTCCACATACCTAAAGCTAGCAGCAAACTTAACTGTTCGTGAAGTACACAATATTCGCGTCCTGATAACCCCTTCCTTAGGATATTAGGAACCTAAAAGTAAAACGCAGTCACTATGAACTGAGACGGCCAGTTGGCAAAAATATGAACTGAAAATCACAGTAAGGGTCAAATGATGATCAACAATCCCCGTAGGGCAATTCAATTAATAGAGAGGAACAAACAGATCGGAAACAGGGAGGTAATCATAGGTAGCTGCTCCGAAGTACTGTAATTACTTGTTGAACCAATAATGATTATGCAAAGCAGATGAAACTCATTCAAAAATTTATATTTTTTCGTATCAAGCAGGGAAGACAAGACTAGTTTTTGGACCCAATGCTGCAGGATATAAAGGTGGCTCTCACCGAAAGCCCGCGAATTTATATAGCGGTCAGTCTCTTGGAAGTCAACATAAGGGAACTGGACAGAAAAATAATGCACTTGGTTTGTAACTTCTGCGCCCAAGGTTGGAGCCACCGCTCTCGTATGGGTGTGAGAATTCATGATTTATCTAATCCCGCGTACAATCGCCTGTGGTTACATTACATGAACCCAACGTGTGAACGGAATTACTTATTGTGGCATAAACATCGTCAACCGTATGCATCAGTACTGACCACGAACTGTACCACTCATCTTCGAACTCTCTCCCGTAGGTTGCGTGGCGCGTGTTGCATTTGTGTCACTTCCCTAGTGTACATAAAACTGCGACTCCAAGCCGTCTTCTTCTGTCTGGGAGTTGGCACCTTTACCGCGTGGCATTCTTGTTACTAATGATAATTGACTCAGAAGCATCAACATCAACGCACATTAACTGAGAGTGAGAGACACACACTTCAGCTAATGTGACGCAATACAAAAAA